CAAATTCATGTGTCATATTTGACCTTAAATTCAAATGCACATACACACAAATTGAATAACATCTCGAAAAAGAAATATCATATCTATGTATATCATATTGGCTTTGAAATTTCCGGTTATTTTATATAAAGGTCTATTTTATTAGATTGTTATTTTTAACATTAAAAAAGGTCGAATAATTTAATATTTTAGAAATTTGATAACATTGTAAAGATATTTGATATATTCAGATATGAAAAATATAGAAATGATATTGTGAATATGATTTTCAAATTAGATCAAATTAAGTATATTAATCATTATAAGCAAAGATGGATAGTGGCTAGGAGTGGAATCCAGGATGTGAGCTCCAGAATGAACATCAATTTTGAGATACAGGTATATCCAGCTGACGAGTCCCAAATAAGATGAAACGTGCATCAAACTGGATTCCACTGCTAGCCACTATCCATTTTTGGTTATAACGTTTGTGAATTAAGGCTATATTGAGGCAGCAATATATACCAATAAGAGACTGATCAATTGCAGTCCTAAATATCATTGAAAAGATTCAAGTAAACAATACCATGTTAGTTGAAAGCATGAGTCAATTGAAGCTAGACCATCAAAGAAAACCTAGAAGCACTGGACGACCGTTTCGTCCTATTGTGCGACTCCTCAGTGGCAGTGCGCATCCACGATCTCGCCCCGCATGCTTTCAACAATGAAAATATTGAAATCTCCACAAAACCCCTTCTGAATGCCATGTTAATTTATTCTGATTATTGATTCATTTATTATTGAATGGTTAAAAACGATTGAATAGAGGTATAAATGTGAAGTAAATTTCTTAAATTTTCTTTCCATCAGTTATCAATGAAATATGCTACTTCAAATAAGTTGATATTAACATACAATTGACAATATTCATCATTGAATTGCTATTGAAATTAAAACTGAACGATTAAGATATTGAATTAACTTATATTGAAAGAAATAAAATAAAAACAAAACTAAATATGGCTGACAATCCTTACAGTAGATTTTATTCTAACTATTTAGTATGTAATTGATCAGGATGGCCGAGCGATCCAAGGCGCTGCGTTCAGGTCGCAATCCAATTCGTGGGCGTGGGTACGAATCCCACTCCTGACACACTAGACATTTATTACGTAAATATAATTATCAGTCTGAAAGAATTAAATAATTGTGACATATCATGGTTAGATAGATAGAATATCTCAACTTTGAATCATTACATTAGTATAAATTTATATCATGATTGTATTGTACATCTTCTTCATGATAACTGTCAATAGGCATTAAAATTGAAACTACATAACGTTAAATAAGCTTATTAGTTCCAGACTACTTAATTGGGGTTCATGCAATGCTCGCGATCTTAGGTATGACACATAAAAGAGTAGATAAGGTCAGTCTTTATTATACTTGAGATTTTTAATATTTTAAACTTATTACAGATTTTTAAATTAGTTAAATCAGCCAAATCAAATCATAATCGTTTCTAATACTACTACTATTCACACTACTAATAATTCTACAGCTATTCCGACATTTGTCTTGATAATTTAATGTCGCTATTATTGATCTCCTATGGTAACTTAGGCTAATTTACATAAATGCCAAGTTATTTATTGCTGAACTAACTGATATTCTCTATTCATTCATATCGACTACTTCCCATTATGTTTAAACTTGTTCAATGTAATCCAATTAGTATTTTTTTGTAACCTCAATTTCTTTGCTTTTATCGGTTCACTATATCAACTTGCACGCAATTGAATTATTGGTCCTCTTTTTTTTCAAATTAGCAGATGTCTTTATTATTTTAATTAACTTCTTATTAGATAAAAAAAAAGAACGGAATTAAATGCTATTGACCTGAAATTACCTAATACACAATCCAACATGTGATATTTTCCAAGAACTTCCTGCCAAATGTGAACGAATAGTTTGATAATAGTTAGGTGACGAGTTTCTGGAAGATATTAAGATGGAAACCATAATATAAAATTCTCGTCATGTAAAACTTAACTCCGAAGTTTCACATGACAGTTTCCTTTAAGTTTCAGTAGGTATGTAATCAAAAATCTAAAACTATCAACTGTAAATAGTGTTTTAGGAAGGTACTTTGTGTTAAACCATTGCTTAATGGTATTAAAATGATGAATTTGGCTTATGCAATGTGGAATGTGGTGGAAATTGTATACAAATCACATGTGAATACTTGTAGACCAAGTATATAGCTATAAATTATAGTCTTGAATATAATTACGTGATAGACAGTCACAATTGCAACTTGTCGCAGGATAAATGAATGGTTGTATGGATACTGGAAAACAGGCTGGTTTTTCATGAATTATGTAAACATTATAACTGATTGAAGCAAATGAATGTAAGTTGTCAAAGTATGTAAGACATGAGATGAGTAGAAAGTCGAGAAATAAATTTATATTTACTGTATTTTCATTAGTTGTCAAGATGTAACTAATCGTACCATCTATTTCGGTCATTTAGGTTTGCCTAAATATTCAGAGACTTAGTTGTCGGTCTTGTTCCACTGAAGTCAGCTAGATATCCAGTTTCAACTGATTCTACCATGGTATTCCAGGGTTTTTTTTCGATGTCCATGTTCTATAAAATGATACATGCATTTAGTAATTTTAGAATTTTGATTATTTCTCTGGAGAAAATCAGGCGAGACTAGAGCGAAATGTTACAGTTTTTTAAATTTCATTTATCGAGAGTCTTACAAATATTATTTTCCTTTTAAAGATCTTAATAGACAATCAGACAGAGAAATTATTGATTCATCACACTGCAATCATTTAAAAAGAAAAAATAAGTCAAAATAGTACTGTAGTGTGGTCTACTTATATTATTATTATAAGTAGTATGTGGCGATGGTCAGACATTGAATGTATTTTGGCAGAAGACCGATAAGGAAAGAACTAAAATGTAGAGCAATCGTTAAGAAAATTCATGAACAATGGAATTAGAGAAGATGAACTGATATTTACAGAAGGAATAGTGAAGATTGAGACATATGGTTGTTATTTTGCAAATTAACTGTTAACTGTATGGTTATCAGAATTTAGTGAGATAATCTGTAATTTGTGCTTAAATACATTCGATTGTCCGCAATTGTACAATACGTCTCTACCCTCCTATTTGTAAAAACTATCAATTAAACCTAATGTAAATTATAAAAAAAGTAGGAAGAAAACTTGTTGTGAATTACTGCGTAGTTAATATCTAGGATTGAATTTCGACCAATCTCTGTTGAGCTACATGTGGCCTATGAGGATTTCCTTGATATACCCATTGTTTCACGAGCTTTTATGAAAAAAAGTATGTCAGTTGCACAAGTGTATAATTATCTGGACTGAGTATTTCAGTGTATAACGCATTGAGTATCTGAAGCAAAAGATGCCGAATTTGAGTCTTAATGTTATTATAAACACTGAGATGCGGCGAATGTATCCTCTTGATAATTCTAAACAGTATGAAACTCGAGTTCTGGGTTCCATTCCTAGCCATCTATTCTATAGAAGAAAATTATTTTGCTTTTAGACTTATTTATATATTCACTTATTAATACTCCTGTACTGACCATTTCCAATGAATGTATATGACTTAGACTTTATCTCATTGCACAAGGCAGTAACTATATGGATTCAGTAGTTTAGTGGTTAAAGCTGTAGACTTTAGGTCGAAAGGTACCGGATTTGAACCCTGAAGTGAACATTAACATTGAGATGTAGATACATCCAGCTGACGAGTCTCAAAGTCAACTGCTAACCATCATCCATCTGCGTCTAAAATTTTCGTGACTTACTGGCAATATGGAGATAATCTACACGGGATGCACTTATATTCCAAAAAAACAGAATAATCAATTACATTCCGAAACATCAATAGGAAAGTTTCAAAAAACCAATATAAATGAATTCATACTTTCATTTATTGAATAATTCATTTCTTACAGTATGAATGAAACAAGAAACGAACACAGAGTCAATGAGCCGATAACAATAAACTTTGTATATTCGTTTCTTTTTTTCCCACGAAGAAAAGAAACCACAATAAAATCAACAGACAAACATACATGTATATATTATGTTACTTCCGGTGTTAAAAGATAACCACAATGACACTCACACACATACACAAAGTATGATTCTGTCCATATGAAAATATAACCGTAGAAGTAATCAGTTACATAAAATGTTGAAGTTATCAAGACAGAGAGAGAGAGAGAGAAAAAGAGAAACAAAAATGGAATATTTTCATTGCCAAAAGTATATTTTCATAGAACAACTAATGAAAGATATTAATCCATAGGCTTGATCTTTAGTTATTCTCATATATAAGTTGACATTGATTTGAAGAATATTTATAAATTTTCACCTTTAGGCAATTCATTACGACTGTTGAAACATATTACACAACACACATACACACACAAGTACAAAATAGTCTCCCTCTTATATGAAACATTGGAACTTAAAGAAGATTAACAACTATAGCATGTAAGTGTATACAAGTAATATAAGTAAGCAAATAAGTAGGTACATAGATGATTAGATAAACAAATAGATTAAAACTATTGATAGATAGATAGATAGACAATAATAAAATCGATGAATAAAGGAAATTAAGCGTAAAAATGCAGTAATACATTGGATATACTATTGAAAAACATTTTCCCTTCCATATATAAACACTTCACACAAGAGTATTCTTTTATTCCAAATACCGAAATGCTTTATAACTAATCAAAAGAAAGGAGAGAGGAAACCATCTCAACTCAACATACTTGACCAAAGGACTAAAATTGAAAAAAAAAATGTAAACAATAAAATCTCAACATACTTTACATGTTAAGATTATGTTATGTGATTATGTTTATGTGATGTAGTGTGGATGATGACCTATAATAAAATCATTTGAGGATAAGAAAAAATAATAGAAGAATAACAAGTTAGTTGGTGTTATTCTCATTGATTCTTATTGTTGTCATTTGTGGCGGTGTCTGTTGTAGTCGTTGAAGTTGACAATGTGTTCACAATATTAGGAACTGTATATGAAATATTTGTTGTTTCACAACAACTATCCAATTCATCAGATCTCTTATTTGACAATGTATCAATAATTGTTTCATGTTCCATATTAGAGAAATTCCATTCAATATCTGTTTGGTGTTTTGATGATTTGGACAGTAGTGAAAATGAATCATCATTATTTGTTGGATAGATAGATCCACTGGGAATTTGTTCAATTGTCCGATGAAATTGTTGATCGTTAACTTTGATTTCGTCATGGTCTTCATCGCTTTCTACATTTTTCTCAGCTTCGACTTCTGCTTCATCGTCACCTTCCACACCAGGTAAAGGGACACGATGTGCTAAAATAGCTTTCAAATTTAATCCATCAGCACCTTCTAAGTCTACCAGATGACGTTTTTGTTTGAATTCTTTACGTCTTGATATTTCTTCAGGTGTTAATTCTTCTTCAGTTACATCAGGAGCTATAGGTAGTTTCTAGTGTCAAGGAGAGAGTTTAAAAAAAGGAAATCGTTTATTGCAAAATGAAAAACTTCACTGGGGTTAAATAAATTTGTTAACGGAAATTGTAAAATGCAAAAAACTGAAGTAAGATCATCTTATAGATGACTGTTCCTTTCAACAATTTTGAAATCTTGTTTATTAAAATGGTCATGATGCGTCAGGAACGATATTTATTTATTCCTATTTGAACTAGTTTGACCTATAAAGATAAATCTATACTAACCCTTTCCTATATCGATCAACTATAGCACAAACAATTACATTAGATATTTAACCAACAAAGAAAAGACTGTACAGTCCTAAAATTAAATGACATAACTAGATGAAACATTGTGGTGGTTGTTTGAAGTAACAGAAATCATGAAGTTCCTAGACATTTTGCCTCTGTACCTTAACCTATTACGTAAAATAATTCAGTTCACATTATTATTTCTAATAAGTAAATATGCAGAGTCAATCTTATGCAGTGAAAGGTAAACGATAGGAAACTCTGGCTGACATAAATTTTGTGTTGACTGACACTTGTAAGCGAAGCGTACCTACAGTTTCGTGGAAACTCATACTTCGTTGCAGTTTCAAATCTGTATTACCCAAGTTCATACTCGGTGATGGTATAATTAAGTTATTGGAGTCTTGTGTGACTTTCCGTTTGACTGGGATACTTTAAAGTGACTGGTTATTACTTAGTAAATATAAGATTATTCACTATACTGACTATTCAGGATAGAAAACGTCAAAAGATCAGATATTATTAATGATTTATGTGTCTAAAAAAGGCACATTTAGTGTCCCTTAACCTAAATGAGTAGATCAGTAGATCACTGAACGTTAAAATAGACAACGGAGCCTCATCAAAATCAGTCATAGCCAATGTATACTAATCATATTGGAGACATGTTTAAACATCCGGGTTACCTGTTCCTGTCATCTAGATATTTCAACAAGTTATCTAATTTTATTTGTTTTGATACATCAATATGGCTATTCACCTCACAACCTATTCAGGTGAGTTTCTGAAAAGTGTACAACCTTTCGTTGTACAAGTTAAAAAAGGCCCAATCAAAGATATCGTGGTTGCTGGCAATATGCACTGAAAAGAGTGTACATTATTCAGATGTCGATTGACTTGGCTGCTAACTTCTAACTGGCGATCACTCAATATTTATCGTCAGGATCGACGAAGAAGTAAGAAATGGAAACTTGTTTAAATTGTGCTGAGAATTCTATATTCTACCAAAAACATAATATTGAATAAAGCTAATAATAATGGTTGGTTTGCATAAAAAAGAGACGGGGTGGCCAATGTGTCATTGCCTCTACTTCGTACTTCTCTTATATGTTCTTACTAATACAAACATTGTTCCTGCAAGATTACTTATTCCAGCCACTCATCAAAGAAGATAATTTCCCTGTTTATCAGGATAGAATAAGTTAGACTAAGTGTTAATTAAGAGATGTGACTGTGATGTAAATACGGAGGTAACACCTTTTATATCCAACACGAGTTGACCGCCTATCCACACAGATTACTTGAGTTGGTGATCCGTGCATCTACACATAGTTCATTGTCCCCAATATTATGTTAAATGTCCACAAAGTATTATGAAAATAAACAATACATCTGCATTTGGTTTGGTTCACTATCTGTTACAAACAATCGCCCATTCTACACTACCATTAACTAATGTCCAAAGTTTTGTCGAAGAACTAAAATAGTTTACTAATGATAGACATATCTAGTTTTTTAATTAGTTTACAGAATATTTAATGTTTACCCGGACAAATGAGTAAGGAAGATTGAATAAAATTGATGTATGTAATTTGAGATATTCATTAACATCATTACTTTTTACATAAAATTGGAACTAATCCAAAAGTGCGTCTCATCGAAAAAAATTGGATGAATGACAGAAGTATACCACCTTTGTTTCTATACTTTGCTATTTCACTATGATAGACACTAATGTTTAAAAGTAAATGCGAAATATAGTTTAAAAGAAGTGAATATAATTAAGTAATAAGAATAATGACAATATTAACGAAATGGACACATCTAACCTCCTACATGGGGTTGTTCGTGGTCCCAATGACTCAGTAATAACATAATCTGTTAAGGTTGGTGGCATGGATTTAAATCTCGTAGGGAGCATTATTTCCCTGAAGATTTCAGGTACTCTTGCTAACGAATGACAAAGAGTACAAAATGTATATTAGTGTGTGAATCTTGTTCACTATCACCAACCACTTTACATTTTAACACAGTCTACAGAATGTAGAACCATTTAAACTGATGACCACATTACTGCTTGCCTAATAGAACTCTATCGGCAATAAAGAGCAAATAAACATGATATAAATAAGTACTCAGATATAATTCAGTGAAAGTACGTCTCATATATCACTCACCGGTCAACTGATTCACCTTCAGTGTTTATGACCGTAATACTATGTGAAATGAATTTAAATTTCATTTACTAAATAGGCGTAACAGCTTCCTTTATGGCAATGTAAATTACTTGAACATTGTGTGATAGATAAGTCGTGTTTATTCTCATTAATAATTCTATACTTCGTCCTCCTAGTTAATTATAAATCTGACTAATACAAGTTTTTACATGTGAGCCGATTGGTAAGTTTAGATTAGATATTCACTTATATTTTTTAATATCTGTTTGAACTGTGTGTAAGCTCATTTATCAATTTGCACTTTGCTTTGATTTACAAAAACCAGCATCCGCTCCACGTATATCTACTCACTCGATTTGTCTGCTAATCTGGAAACCTGAAATTTACGTATTCTCAACCCCTTACATATTAAATATTTTAATATAGCGTTTTTGAAACAGGATTAGCCCATTTACAGATCACGAAATTAAATCAGAGGTTTATATTTATATGCATCAGATGGGCTACCCCATATGTCCCCATGAAAATAACAGACGACGAACAACTGATACACAATCGAAGTCTAGGTGTTCTGACTTATTGTCAACAATCGCCCTAAATAAATATCATAACTCTTAAGAATGTGAATAATCTAGAATACTGAGTATATGATATGCCGATTGTAATAGGATGTTTTTACTGATTTATTAACATTTTTGATGATTTCGTTTTATATTTCCCACTGTTTTTCAATATCTATTAGATTAGCATAAATCGATTTGTATTGTGATCAATTTCGTATTTTTTTTCAGTACTGTATCTACTGTTATAATGTAAATGAAGTTAAATTTATATTTGCATAGTTGAATTCATGAGTCAATTGAAGCTAGACCACCAAGGAAAACCTGGTAGCACTTGACGGCCGTTTCGCGAGGCGAGGTCGTGGATGGGCACTGCTGAGAAGTCTCGTAATAGGACGAAATGACCGTCCAGTGCTTCCAGGTTTTCCATGGTGGTCTAGCTTCAATTAACTCATGAATTCAACTATTAAAATTACCACAATCTCCACAAACCCTTATTCTGATAAAATATATTTGTTCAGTTGAACCAAATAGGAGGATTAGTTAATGTTGAAGTTGAATTTTATCATGAATCGATATGTCAACTTGGATAACTGTCGATGAACAGTGAACGCTGGACAGTTCAATGGTCAAAATGTCACTGTCTAGTAGAGTGTATTGAATGCTTTTAGTTTGGTACTTGATAGATTTGTGGATAGGCATTACTGGATAATCCTTATACTTTGACGAAATGGCTAGTGAAAGAGGCTTGTTTTTTTCATGACTACGTTGATATCTTTTGAAGAGTTTAAAAAGTCCTCTCAAGATATTTTTCTATCTGGGTTACCGTAAAATATTACTTGATTTGTTGTGTTGAAAATATTTCATTTAAGCTGATATTATAATAGTTATGATTGCAAATTAATATAATTTTGACTTAAACTCATCAATTAATTAGACTAAAATAGCACAAACAATGTTAATACGATTGGTAGACATGATATACTAATTAGAAATATCAATGGTTATCTGGTCTCAATAGTTTTGTACATAATTCTTTTATGATTTGAAGTGAAAGGTACTAGATTTGAGTCACTGTATTGATATCAGTCATTTGTTGGGTTCTAGATAGAATGACATTCAGATTCTGAACCCTAATGTCAAAGATAATCAAAATTTATTAAACATGAGCTTACAGTTGTTATATTTTCAAATTTACAGTACATTTTTTATATCTATCATCGATGAATTTAAATTGATTTAACAATTGGAAATGAATTAGACCAAATCCTATACATTCAAAGTAAGTATCTAACACTACTCGACCCTACATCAGTGGACATTCGTGGACTCGAAACAGGAGGTCAAACCCAGGATCTATGATTTCACAGTTAAGCCCTGAAATATGGTTTGATTCCCGATTACAGAGTTTGAATGTGCACCGTCGAGAAATCTAACTGTAAGACGATATATCTGTCTGATGTTTCAAGGTTTTCAATGACTATCAAACTTAGATCGATTCATGATCTTCATAAAGTTTGAAAATTTTCACAAATCCTATGCTGTACGATAGCAGTTTACTGAACTACTTGTTTAAATAATTTCCAATACAACATATAGCTAAATAATTAAACAACATAAAACTTTAATTTCACTTAGTATTATTTGTTTGAAAGTTCCCATTGATATTTTTCGATTGCATTTGGTCAGTCTCTAATTGGCATATGTGCATACTGTGCGTATTGCCTAGATATAACCTAAATTCACAAGCATGGTAAGCAAAGATGGGAAGATTCAAACAAGCAATACAAAATAAATTTAAATTTTACCCCATCACACAAGCAAGTGGCTATCAGGGCTCAGTGGCCGAGTGGATTACGCGGTGGTGTTTGAAGCGAAAAGCACTGGGTTCGAGTCCTAGAGTGAAAATCAACTCTGAGATGCAGGTACATCCAGTTGACTAGTCCCAAATAGGATGAAACGCGCCTTGTCCTGGATTCCACTGCTATCCACTATCCATGCTTGTTT